CAGAGAACCTGAGCAAGACCCAAAAGACTGTGGCTATCCCTGTAGTAGTGCCAACTACAACAGTGATTTTCAGCTTCCCCAGTGATCCATCATGTATGAGCTATGCATACTTACATTGGACCAAGCAAAACAGACAGTTGTAATCATTATAGCTGCTGTACTGCTTGTATATAGATTACATATTTTAATAGTTGTGCTATATCTCTGTAGGTCTACAGAAGCCTGCACAATCATGTTTTTGGGGTTCAAAAAAGCATTGATATTCACCTAGGTGGATTCAGCATCGGTCCCCCCGTTGCCTCTAAGACTGAGAACCAAGCAATCAAACACTGCTGATTGCTCAGGTTTCAGTGTTCAGTGAGCAGAGAACTCATGACCTGTCAGTCTCCAGCTCTCTGCTCTGCCCCTCCAGCGCTCACTGGAGCGTCAGGCTGAGAAATGGTTGGGAGAGGCTGGCTCAGGTTCTCAGTGACTCAACATTTTTGTATTACTTTTGTTCAGGGCTTTGTTTAAGCTGGAACTTGGTGGTTCCACCACCTCTGGCTCAGGCCCTCTGATCCCTGCTCATGACAATAACTTGTAAACATAGGTCCATAGGTAACAGCTTGTCTCCCAATGGCTCCCATAGATATGATCATCTGACCGGCTCCCACCGAGTACAGGATGGGGATGCAGGTGCCCATCCTTCAGATTCTGACACCCCCGCTTGATGATCTCCTTGCAAGTGAGAGGGGAGAAGCAATCTACAGTGTGTGTGGGGAGGTACTATAGCTGGCTGGGTGCTTCAGCCTAATACAGCAACAATAGTAAGACATGTGGAGGATGGTGGAGCTTGTGGAAGAGAAGGGTTGAACTCTGCACTCTTGTGTGCACTCTTGTGTGCAGCACCCCTGAACTCTGCACTCTTGTGTGCAGCACACCCCTGAACTCTGCACTCTTGTGTGTGCAGCACACCCCTGAACTCTGCTCTCTTGTGTGCAGCGCACCCCTGAACTCTGCACTCTTGTGTGCAGCGCACCCCTGAACTCTGCACTCTTGTGTGCAGCGCACCCCTGAACTCTGCACGCTTGTGTGCAGCGCACCCCTGAACTCTGTACGCTTGTGTGCAGCGCACCCCTGAACTCTGTACGCTTGTGTGCAGCGCACCCCTGAACTCTGTACGCTTGTGTGCAGCGCACCCCTGAACTCTGTACGCTTGTGTGCAGTGCACCCCTGAACTCTGTACGCTTGTGTGCAACGCACCCCTGAACTCTGCACTCTTGTGTGCAGCGCACCCCTGAACTCTGTACTCTTGTGTGCAGCGCACCCCTGAACTCTGCACCTGGTATTTCATGCCCTTTTTTAAGATCCTCCCGCTGTTAATGAAACTTGACCACTCCCACTATTTGATGCAATTTGGAGGGTGTGTATTTGGGGGGAGAGTGGCTTTGGGGGGTTGTGGTTTAAGTTCCTGCACCTATTTTCTGAGGGAAAAAAAGCCCTGCTTTTGTTACAGCCCTCATACATCTGTATGGCATAGATGATGGGTTGTTTGCATTCAGTTTTTCTGATCACAAATGGGCTTAAATGGTTTGAAAATTGTGGTGTTGTGTGGCTGTGGAAACTGGCAAAGTTGATGATTGAGTTTCCATTGCTGTTAGGATAGGCCCTGTTCACATCAAGCTGTGATGTGTCTGCAGTCTCTGACCATCTCCTCTATCATGTCTGCAGTCTATGACCATATACCATAGTAGGTCCGCAGTCTCTGACCATCTCCCGTAGTAGGTCCGCAGTCTCTGACCATCTCCCAAAGTCTGCCTGCAGTCTCTGACCATCTCCCGAAGTCTGCCTGCAGTCTCTGACCATCTCCCGAAGTCTGCCTGCAGTCTCTGACCATCTCCCGAAGTCTGCCTGCAGTCTCTGACCATCTCCTAGAAGTCCTGCCTGCAGTGTCTGACCATCTCCCAGTGGGTCCGCCTGCAGTCTCTGACCATCTCCCAGTGGGTCCGCCTGCAGTCTCTGACCATCCCCCAGTGGGTCCGCCTGCAGTCTCTGACCATCTCACGTAGTGGGCCCGCCTGCAGTCTCTGACCATCTCACGTAGTGGGCCCGCCTGCAATCTTTGACCATCTCCTGTAGTGGGTCTGCAGTCTATCTGCCAATGTCTGCCTGCAGTCTCTGAACATCTCCCGTAGTAGGTCCGCAGTCTCTGACCATCTGCTGCTATTTGCATTCCAGCCACAAGAAGCTGCTGGTTCTAGCCATTTGAATCCAGTGGCTGCATCTAAACAACTGTGTGAAGGAGGCTTTAGTTTGAATGAATTCTAGCCTACCCCAATGTAGTGGCCTCTGCAATGCCAGATAAGGTTGTACAGTAAGAATGGCTTGGCTATTATCATGTCTTAGGCTGTGTTCACACATACTGCACTGACTTGTGTTTTACTGCATTGAATGAACACAGGTCACCGCTAGGACACACAGAAAACAATTGTGTTCTGTGTGTCCTGTTCACACTGCAACACAGCCTGGAGGTACGGTGCAGTGAGCTGTGCTGCATTTTATCTCAGTGCAAGGGAAGGTTTTGCATGTCACCACATAGCAGTGCAAAGCACCCTGTTGCTGTGATATGAATGAAGTGTCACTTTGTACACTTCAAATAAAATCACACAAAAAAGGAATAAAAAGGGAACTGTGTGATACACTGAAAAAGCACATCATGCCCTTAGTGTGCAAGTGTGGGGAGTGTAAACCAGCCTTTAGAGCCGATTCACACATGTGTGGTGCGGATTGAAGCTCAGGTCTTACAGCTAATTGATACAGCAGTTGTTGTTCAGTCGGTTTACATCAGGTTCAGGACAGGATTAGCTCTCAGAATTATCCTGTTCACACACAGGCGGTTTAGAAACAGCATAGAAATCAATAGCTTGTAATCCGCACCTGAACTGGACCACACTGTTCAGAAATCGTACAGGACTCTTTTTCAAACCACACTGAATCTTGCAACGGAAATATGTGAACACACTGATGTTATTGCACTGCACCACCAGTGCAACGGAAATATGTGAACAAGCACCATAGGAAGCAATGTTATTGCACATGTCATGCGGAATGGATGTGGTACAAACCTTCATCCAATCCACATGTATGTGAACAGGCACCATAGGAAGCAATGTTATTTCACCTGTCATGCGGAATGGATGTGGTACAAACCTTATCCAATCCACTTGTATGTGAACAGGCATCATAGGAAGCAATGTTATTGCACATGTCATGCGGAATAGATGTGGTACAAACCTCATCCAATCCACATGTATGTGAACAGGCACCATAGGAAGCAATGTTATTTCACCTGTCATGCGGAATGGATGTGGTACAAACCTCATCCAATCCACATGTATGTGATCTGGCACTGAGTGTGCCCACCACAGCAGGTAAAAAGGGGCTCCATCTTGTGGTATACTATGTACTCACTTTTTTTTTTTTTTGTGCAAAGATTATCAAAAAAATCAGAGTGTGTGCTGCCTTCCAGAAGATGATGGTGACCTTTGCACCTGCCCAGTAAGGTTAGCTATTACAGTGCAAAAGGCACCATCCTGTGGTAGGCAGTGCATTCACAATGTTTTTATTTATCAATGTAAAAAATCAATGAGCGCTCTGTCTGACACAAAATGGCGTCCTTTGCAGCATAATGGCTAACCTTACTGAGCTTGTGCTAGGGGCACCATATTGTGGTTGGCAGCACACTCGCTTTGCACTTGCTTAGTTTACACCTTATGACTGGATAATAGACAACCGTACTTTGTCATTTTATTTTATTAAAAATATTATTACCTGTACCTGCTACTGAGCTCCCCCCAGGAACAAAACATGATCTCCGGCCCTGCGTTTAGTCAAATACTGGAGTTATACCCCGATGAAGTCACGGCGCACGTGACGCAACGCGTCGTTACGCCATATCCGGTTTTGAGTAACGTCACTTCCGGTCACGTGGTGACGCTTGTCCAGATGCAGCGGCCATATTGGTTTCCCCAGGTTTCATGCAATACACCCATGGGATGGGGAAAACGCTGATGTGACTACAACTATATGTGAGTGTAATCTTTGCCTTTTTGCTGGCTTTATTAAACCTATTACACTATGGAAGGATCTCTCTTGTTTCTTGTATATTACTGAGTGGAGGTGGAGTGGAACAAAGGAGTCTCCAATTCCCTTGTGACATCTGGATGGGCTATCCATATACAAGGACCTGATACAGAGGAGAGTAATAGCTTTTTGGCCCTGTGTGGGTCAGTGCGGGGAGGTGAGCAGGCACTGCTGCCATTTGAAGATTTGTGCACTAGAAGTGAAGATCACTTTCTCACAAAGTTTTTCACTTGCATGGACTTTGCTTTATTTTTTATTTTATTTTTTGATCATTCACAGATGGTGGTTTTATATTTATGTGATGCACAGGTATAGGATGGAATTTTGTGATTGAATTCGTTATATATACATGGTATTTTTTATCATTTTTCATCCTTCTTTTGTTTTAAATTCACATTGATGTGTATTTTTATTTCACTATAAAACTGTTTAATTAGCCCTGAAGTATATCATATATATAATATATATGAGCTCCTTTTCACAGAGCACTAATCGATAGGTATAATTAGGCACTGTAGTATTTAATTTTGATAATAGTAGCGCTTCACTAATTTTTGTTAAATAATGATCACTGGAGTTATAGCTTTGTAAATCTACCAGGGTTAATGCTGGACGCACAGACACTCAAGATGTTTTTTTTCAGCTGGTAAACCTGTCCAAAGGATCTATTTACAATGGCTATAATAGGAGGAGCAGATCAGTGATTGGCCATACTGGATGCAGCGCTTGAGGCTACCCACTTGTACACCTCAAGGAATCCCATTCGTTTCCTGAATTTCCAGTTGATGTCCAATGGTTTTACATAACCAGTCCAACCATTGTACTATAAAAAAAATTCACTCAGGTAATTTGCTAACTGTTTTCTTTCAATTTTTCAGGTTCCATTGAAGACTTCCTGTTGCCCTATTTGGAGCAAGCAAAGCAAATCTGGCAGTGGCTTGTTGGAGCGGCAGTGGTCGGAGGTTTGGTCACTGCTGTGATTGCAACCATCATCAGCTTAACGTGTCGGAGAAAACGGAAAAGTATTACAGAGGAGACCCGGCCACTTCTCATGGAGGCTGAAGATTACCAGGCCACTTACCAATCCAACCTATGATAATGCATGGCAGCTAAACTGAAGTATTTACATGTACCAAGGATTTGGCATACCCACTGAAAGGGACATTTATGTTTGGGTTACATAATAGCTGACTGCAGGGTTCATAAGTAACTAAAGAAGGCTGTAGTACCTTTTTTTTTATGTTATTTTTTTTTAATGGGTTTTCATTTATCTCAGTGATAATGTGTATAATGTTACACATCCCCAGAAAGCTATGGTTGTGTAATGCAGGCAGGAAGTATGGGGGCCATACGCCAAACTAGATTTTATTAGTGCCTGAAGGAAAAACCTTATTGTGTTGCCTTTAGTAACCACTGTCCCTTTTAGCAGAGCTAAAAACAATTAATTGTTGAAAGACAAGAATATTCCTAATGAACACTATAATGAGCATTGTGTCTTTTATAGATCATCTTTGTTGCCTTTCCAGCTTCCTTAGAAAAATGGAGCTAGAATTTTTGCATGGGCAGATTGGATGGTTATGGGCTTTGATACGTTCAGCCCATAATTTTTACTGGATTTTAGGCTCCAGTATTTGTCCCACTGCAAATCCTTTCTGGTGCAGTTTTATTTTTTCATTGAATAGAGATTATCCTAATAGGCTCCTTGTTCTTACACGTTTAAAGTAAATCTTCCTTAAGAGATATTAGGGCTTCCATTGCTAATCATCTTTAAAGTAGAATTCAAGCCTAAACCTAACTAGTCTTAAAATGTCCCTCCCCTCCCAAAAAAAGAAAGTATATACAGTACTTATCTACAGTATTCGGTCAGTCACGGGATCCTCAGTATATGCCAGGGGCGGCTACAGGGGAGAGGAGAGTATGGGACTTTACAGAAGCAGTGATGTCCCTCATAGGCTCCAGGTCCAAAGCATTGTCCGCACTCCCCCCAGCTGCTGGCTTACAGGGTGATCCGGATCATGTGACCACACTGGAGCAGGCTTACATTGGCATGTATGTCTTCTTTCCTACATAGGTTAGTCATAATAAGTGTTAGGTGAATGGAAGGAACATCTTTAGTACTAGTTCAGGCTCGAGTTCTCCTTTAAATTCTTGTTACTTGGTCACTATGCTGATCCACTAGCTTCAATATGTAATTGGTCACTGCAGGTCATTCATCAGTCCTTATCTACATACTTGTTCCTGAAAATACTAAAGCCAGGGTTTTATTATGATGGCTTTAACAGGAGAGATCTGTAATGGCAGCTTTTGTTTCTTTCATGACTATTTTGGATGAATTTGCACTGCCGTGCTGTATTAATAGACACACCTTATGCCATGGATTAACATGCCTGGGCAGTCTATTCACTAAAAAGGTTCATGCACTATTTTTTGTAATGCAGCACCCCACAATGCATTGTGGTGCATTGGGATGCCAATGCGCATATTGCATGCTTTTCAAAGACCAACAGTGTTAACCCAGCTTTAGTGCTCATTCCCAACAAAATGCAGTGTGCTCTATCTATTCAAAATAAAAAAAAAAATGTCTATACATGAGAAAACAGGCCCTGCACATTTTTTTCAGTACAGGCCCCCCAAGCAATGGACAGAGCATGTACGGTGTGAGTGGTGCTCTTTAATACAGGTGCACTGTAGCATTCAGATGCAGTTAACATAACCATTAATTTTGCAATGCAACGCACATCTACATTTGAGATGCCACACGTTATTTTGTGAATGAGCCCTTGGAGAAGAAACTGACAATTTGACTTACAGCAAATAAGCTATTTTCTAGTGTATTATCAATGGATCTGACTGGTTGGTGTGGGCAATACCACACTTCTACCTGTTTCCAGTGAAGCAGAACCCATAAGGTGCAACAGTATGTCCCTAAAAACATATTGTGCCACAGAAAGTACATGTCCTGTAGCTTGTACGGTTTGAGATCTCATACTGTACATATAGCCTATTATGAATTGTCTGAAATGGGACCAAAAAATAAAATAATTTTATAAACCTAATCTTGTGGGTTTTTCTTTTTTTTTTTTCTTATGTGTAGTGTACAGTTTGGATGTATTGGTCAGTTTGTATATGAAATACAATTTGTGGATCAGGAATTTTCATGTACTTGCCAATTTGTGTTGGCTACAATATATTTGCATGGTCTACCACAGATCAAACTGTGACTCGCCACTGTGGATCTGAGGACCCATTGGTTCTTGTACAGATTTTAGGGGGAAAGTGTGGGGTCCCTCAAATGGATTTTAATGGGGAACCCCACACAATACAACACATTGGTTCTCCCCCCAAATCCATGCCAGATCCTTTGGATCTGGTAAGAGTTTTAAGGAGAACCTCACAGAAAAAAGGGGCCCTCTTCCCCACTCACATCCCCAAAATACATGCCAAAACCTAATCAGAGCATTCAGCCTCACAGGTTGGGAAAGAAGAAGGGCAGCATAAGCTGAACAGCACCAGGACACAAGCCCCCATGTTGATGAGGGCAGGAGCTTCTTTTCTACAACCCTGGCCCAGTGGTTGTTTGAGGTGTGGGAAGAGGATTATTATCTGGAATGCCCATTCAAGATAAGGGGGGGGGCCCCTAGATATATTGCTGCCAGTATGACCTGTAGGCATTTAAAGGTACTTTTAAATACCAGCAGTAACCTCCCAAACCTTCCTGACATGGCTGAATACTTCCTGTTCTGACAAGCTCTGAAACTTCAAAAATAGTGTTGTAGTTTCCACTTAGCCGTTACCCAACATTTTCCTAATGGGTAGCTTCACTGGCTAATGGGAATGCAAAGGAGGCAGGAAGGTATGAGTAAGGTTCAGAAATATCTGGAAGTGCCAAACTGTCTCCTGCCAGAAGTCAGCCATGACAGATTTAGAAGGCTGCAGCAGGAATGTACACCTCTTGATGTATTATATTGCCAAACGTTTGGTAATTCCGCTCCAAAAAGAATTTATGTGCTCATGGTTTGAGTTTGGTTTGGAGGAACACAAGTGGCCTACACAGAGACCTCTGACATCAACTCTATATGAACACATTCAAGATCAATAGAAACAACCATTGCAAGCCAGGTCTTCTCCAACATCAGTATCTAACCTAAAAAATACTCTGTTGGCTAAATGGACATAATTTCCACAGCCATACTTCAAAATCTTTAAGGAAACGGCAACCCCATATGCCTATGGTATTGGAATGAGATGTCCTACAAGATCATATAGGTGTGATTGTCATATAGTTTTTCTTGGACCATATTCCCTTACCTCCCCCCTCCAAGGGCAGTAAGAGGTACTCCCATATGACTCTAGGTGGCTACTATATGTAGAATCTCTGTAATGAAACCTGGATCAATTTTAAAAAAATGGCTGAGGGCCCGGGGTCAGTAGGGGGCCCCATGAGATGCCCCTGGAACCTTTTTCATAGGCTTTTTTTGAGTTTGGGCATGGACACAGGGGCCCCATGATCCCCTATTGCCCGGGGGCCCCATGAGTTGTCAGTCCGCCCCTGATCATACATTTATATAAAAGTACATTTTTGCATTGTGACTTTGCTGCCTCCAGATGCTTTATATCCATACTAATTTGCTGGGTTTTGCTGTCACAATTAATACACATGTTTTCATGGTAAACATAAAGCCCTCAGCTTGTATTTCTCTATGCAATTTATGTGCTTGGTTATACTTTAAATGCATGCTAAATGCAAATCTGTGCGCAGTCAAGCCACAAAGCACTGTACATCCACAGTAAGTGTTATTCGTAGTGTCTTTTTCTCCATCGTTTTGGTGAGTAATGGGATATGATGCACGCACACTGGAGTATAAAGCCACACTGAGAGCTCTGCTCTCTTCTGTCTTAATCCCGGCACAGCAGAGAAATCCATTAGAGACAGAAAATGTCCTTACTAAAGGGAAATTGTTCTTAGAGCTCAGCTTCCATTAAAGAAGCACTGAAAAATAAAAAATTTAGGTGTAAGCTTCTTTACGAAGACCTTGTCAAGATGCCATATTTTTATGGCATTTATCTTGGGCTAGTTTTGTTGCCTCTTTTCAATAGTTGAGAAAGTTGTGAGCTTTTTAAAGGGATGACAATAAACTTTGCTAGCTAGCAAGGATGATCTGTATATAAAAGTGGCCTCTATATACTGAGAACAATTATGGCTATAACAACCCAGATTTTTTTGTGATAATATTTCACATTGCAGCTCACAGAAGCCTTGGAAAAAAAGTAGCAAAGAACCCAAAAATAGGTGTTTTTTTTTATATATTTTGTTTCTATGAAATGGTTCACCTAATATTATACATACATGACTTCAGTCTATACATCTAAACTATTATCCATATTAGGCCAATTGTGTATCCCAAGATGGGACAATCCATTCAATTATTACTGTGACATTAAGAGTGTTGGTTATGTGTTAGAGAAGACACTAGTAGCTTGTGATGAGGCAGAACTTTGTTTACTTGTGTGGCTTAAGTTGCAAACATACAACACATTTCAGCAGACTGTAACAGCAGACATCTTGGTTATGAAGAAAGAGAGAAGAAGAGAGAGAACCAACAAGTTTGCAGATATGCACAACTGGTAACCTTAGTGTACAGTGCCATCTACTGGTCAAGTGATATTAACACACAATACTGTATATAGTACATGCTGTTGCATTCCCAACAAAGAGAACATGGTTGACCTGCCTATTATTTGTTGTTGATATATGTAACATTGACATGCTAGTCCAAAGTACAATTTTACCTTCCTTGCCTCATAAGTTTTTATACGATGAACAAAAAAAATGACAAGAGAAATTAGGGTCAAAGAAACTTCTCTTAAATGTAGGGGTTAGCATTTCTCACTCCTGTTGAAGCGGGCTGGAAGATGTCCTAATCCAGAAGATTGGAAAGGGGTAGGGAAAAAAGGTAAGCAAAGGGAAAAGCGCAAAAGCAGACTGGGGTTTCAAGTTGTAATGTTCAGGTTCTTTTGAAAAAGCAGAAAGAAATGGGCAATATTGAGGACTGTGAAACTTAATGCAGTAGATCAGACTTCTGA